TCCATCCATCCATTTTCATCCGCTTATCCGTTACCGGGTCGCGGGGCAGCAGTCGCCACCCAAATCACACTGCACTGTACCAACCCCCCAAACCCTCCTGCAGGTGGTGAGTCCACTGGAAGGTACCAACTGCCCTAACCGGGATTCGAACTTGCCCAGGAGGTGAACCCTGGGGTTCCACACCAATGACAGAGACTTTGCCTCTGGGCCAAAGTGCTGCTATTATTATTATTATTTTTGTTATTATTATTATTGATATTATTATTATTATTAATATTGCTAGTTACTTTGAGGCCCCTCGGAAAAAAAGATGAAAACATGTCAGGAATCTTTGCGCTTCAATTTCTTTTTGTTAATCTACGTCTTAAGACTCTTAGGGGCCACATTCCATTTGGTTCATATGATTGGCCAAGGGTGATCTTCAAATGACTAGATTCTTCTGGATTTCCATGAATGCTGGGAGTGAAATTTCAAAGCAGTATAGGGAGCCAGTTGGGTGTGGAAAAACCCAATATTTAAAGTAATATAAAGTACAATATAAAGTTATAATATAAAGGTTTAATAATATATAACTGACCTTGATTAAAATAATTTTTTATTGTTTCTGTACTATGGTGTATAGTATATTTGATAGTGTTTTGTTGACACTGTATATTCTATAATTTATAAAGTTCATAATTAGTAATGATATTTTAAGTAGATTGTGTATTTGTATTTAGAGTGTTATGGTTTAAATTTAGACTTCAATAATCAAGTCATGTTTACAACTTAAGGGATTAAATGTCAACCACAGCTCCCTCTGATGGTGAGTGAGGTACAGCTACCATCTCAATATTACCAGCACCTCCTCAAAACTACTGTTTACTCTTGTTCTGGACAAACATCAAAGTAATTCCATCTTTTACTTTATACGGTTGCAATGGGAAGAAAATCAGAGCTGTTTTTAATTTTGTTATTTATTTCAGCAGATTTATGCAGTGTTTCAGACTTTCTCTGTGTTCAGTATAAAACCTTTCTGTCTTACATTTTACACCAGTGTTATGCATATGTCAAAATGTATTTATTTATTTTGCCATGCTGATTCCATCCATCTCTAAATTTCTTTCCTCAAACCTTTCCCACCAAGGTAAAGCCAAAGAATGAGAATGTGAAACTGGAACCTAGGTTACAGTGTGAAGGAAGTACTACAGAAATATATGCCCAGGATTTGATGCTGCCAAAGAAATACAAAGAATGCTGGAAATGCCAGGAGAAATCAGAGTATGTAAGTGGTGTCTGCTGAAGCCAACATTGACCGTATGGAACCAGAACTTGACATTAGGAGCATTGTAGAACTCGTATATCT